CAAACTCACCATACAGAAAATGTGTTTGTTGAGTTTGTTAAACAATTATAACAGATAAAACTTAACGATCAGATCCAACTCTGTATGGTGAGTTGGTGATGAAACTTTAACAGATAAACGATCAGATCCAACTCTGTATGATGAGTTTGTTAAACAACTATAACAGATAAAACTTAACGATCAGATCCAACTCTGTATGGTGAGTTTGTTAAACAACTATAACAGATAAAACTTAACGATCAGATCCAACTCTGTATGGTGAGTTTGTTAAACAACTATAACAGATAAAACTTAACGATCAGATCCAACTCTAGCCATCACTTTACCTTCTTTTTCGAAATTCGAAAGAGCTATACTTATTTAGACAACAAAGATAGTTTAACCAAAGACGAATATAGAGCGGAAAAAATATCTTTTAATAGTTACGAAAAATTTATTCCACAGAAAACAGTTATTTAGATTTAGTATACTTTATAGAATTCGGGTTTCTTACCAGCACAATATCTGCTGTAACTAAAACTTTGTGTTTAAAAGTTTAGAAATTCTAGTGGTATATCCCATGAAATTTGGGATGTGAATAAACTGTAAAATACCAAAAATGAGATCTAGACGAACGTACGTACACAGGCATCGACATTTCACAAAAAAAAGTATTTATTTATATCTTACTTTAGTTGTTTTATACTGTACGTGTTTCTAAGACATTATAGATGTGTTCTTGCAACATTATGGCATTTCATTTATATTTTATTTACCTTCTTATCGTTGACGTACCACTTAAGACTAGCCGGGGGCTTAGAGGGTTCGGCAATACAGGTTACATTAACAAAATCTCCAATATTGTAATGGTCACGGGTACCAGTTACTGTGGGCTTTTCTTTGGGTAGCACTAAACATGAGAAAGGAACAGTGAAGTAGTGAAAAAACATTCTGTCAACTTGGAACTACTCGAAACTATAAAAATAAGCTCAAAACAACATTCATTGAATCTAAAGTTTGAAACATAATGCATCATTTATATAATGTCTAAATTCCAGATTTTCATACACCCATAAAAAAAAAAATAAACAGGGAAAGGATGGAGTAATTAAAGGAACCAATCACTTGGCTTTATATAAGGAATAAACAAGGACTTGGAGTAGTTAGAGGAACCAATTACTTGGCTTTATATAAGGAATAAACAAGGACTTGGAGTAATTAAAGGAACCAATCATTTGTCTTTATATAGGGTATGAACAAGGACTTGGAGTAATTAAAGAAACTAATCACTGGGCTTTATATAGGGTATAAACAAGGACTGGATAGAGTAATTATAGAGAACAGACGCTTGTTTTCGCTTAGGATGTGAATAAGGACTGGATGGGTTAATTAGAGGGATCAGTCATTTGGTTTTATTTATGGTATAAATAAAGATTAGAAGGAATAATTAGAGGGATCAGACACTTGTTTTTGCTTAAGGGGTAAATAAGGACTGGATTTAGTAATTAGAGGAACCAGTCATTTGGTTGTTTTTACAGTATAAACAAGGACTGGATGGAGTATTTAATGGACCAGTCTTTTTTTAGGGTATAAATAAGAACTGGGTGGCGTAATTAGAAGATGATATTTATATACTGGCTGAATTGTTTGTATTTTTTGGTTTGTATAAACACTTGTATCTAGAGAAGATTCCACAACGAAATTAGTTCTGGATCTTACCAACTGTTGTTATGTAGTGTCAATTGTGCTTAAGCTGACTTCCAGTCGTTGATTTTATTACATCATTTTTTTACATGTTTTACAAAAATAATACTTCTAATAATTGAACTTACATTTTGATCTTGTCTGTTGAATGCATAAAGACGGCAACAAGGGGATGTGCTGATGCATAGAAAATATATTATTTGAGGTTTACGTCATATATGAAAATTGAACTTATTTATTTATTTTTTTAGTTTTCGTTTTTAACGAACATGAGCAATGGCTTTGTAATGAAATCATTAGGTTTAAAGATACCACAGAAATGTACAGCGGAAATGAAAATCATAGACAAAGAATCCCGCGATTTATGTACTTTCTGAGGATCAATAAATTCAATTTCCATCTGAAATCAGAAGAAAATTATTTAATGCATGTTCTATTGACGTTTCGGATAATATCTGTGTGTGGTAGACGTAATGTCCATGTTGAAATGGAAAAAGATTGATCATCCTATTAATCTCTGTAAGGTTCAGAAAGAATATTAGGTAATATTCTGCGCATATTATAGAATAATCAGTCACGTGCCTTCTCGAATTATTAATACACATTGTGCACTCAAACACGTGTGGAGGTTTTTCTTGAGGCACAAAATTGAAAGGTCATAAGGTAAACTAACGTAGCCTGAATTCATCAGAAACACGCTAGTGTATCGTGATATACCAGTTTTAATTTAATTTACTGAGTTCATTATGTTTTCAAAACAGAATATGGCAAGAAAAAGATCGTGGGCCAGTGGTTAGTGTGCCCAGACACTGTATCCGAAATTTCATTGTTCGCGACCTGTTTTGGTAAAAACTATCTCCGCACTTTGCAGCCTTTGGTGCGTTATCAAAGTGACAGTTAAATCCCATTATTCGGCCAGACAAGCGTAGTTCAAGAGTTGACGTTGAGTGGCGTTGACTAGCTGCCTTTCCTCTGGTTTATCAGTACGAAGTTAGGGACGGCTATTGTGTATGTCTAAAAGGAAGAATGTCGTGTTAGCCCTTAAACGTATTATTGAGTTGAGAAACAGGCATTAAAATAATGCTCAATTACTAAAACACAGAGTCCAAAATTGATAATATTCAAATGAAAAATATTATTTCTTAACCATGCTTATAAAGTAACGAAGGGACATAAGTAATAAACAATATACCTGAAGTAAATTACTCTGTAAACTTTGGGAAAATATCGTTTTAACTCTTCCTTAACCCTAAATTGAAGCATACGAGTTCTCCTTCTGATTGTATTCAGATTTCTTACGGACGTCTTCAAATTTTGAATATACATATATATATATATATATGTCTGTGAAAATTAAATAATTTTAAAAATGTTTGAAATTAGTTTGAAACCGGGCTATGAAATATTTATATTTTCGTAAAGAGTGGCGGACTATTCCAACAAACTGAAAATGTTTCGTAGAGAATACCACGGGGCACAACAAAATTAGATGTTACGTGTTTTACTGAAACACTGCACATTTATTCATCTATTTCAGTAGTTATATAAATATGTAGATATAAGAGCACTCAGTTGTTGGAAAGAGTTCAGAGAAGGATTACTTGGATGATATCCGAGATAGAAAAGTTGTCATCAGAGGACAGGTTGTCTCTTGAAAACATAGAAGAGTTAGAAGGGATCTGATTAAAGTATACAAGATTAAGGGAATTTATAGTGTTGGTGTGTCATTTTTTCGCATTTAATTATGAAAATGGAAGTACTAGGAGACACAAATATGAATTTTGGTTGTTTCTGTTAATCAGGTTGAGATGTTGCCTTGGTGTTTGTGTCCATCAGGTCGAAATGTGACCTTGGTGTTTCTGTCCATCGGGTCGAGATGTGAACTTGTTTCTATTAGTCAGATCAAGTTTTAACTTTGTTACTGTCCGTTAAGTTGTTTAACCTTATTGTTTATGACCATCGGGTCAAGTGTGACCTTGTTGTTTCGGTTGTAGTCAAATCAGGAACAAAGGTAATTTTTCTCTGCCCTAAATATTTCCTACTCTATGCTTTTGTTGTTGTAATTTAAATTCCAATATAACACTGTATAATCATAACTTTAGTTCCAGAGCGTTATATGCAGCTTTAAACAGTTTTCAGAGCGTAGAATTATTACAATATATATAATTATCGTTATTATTATTATTAAAAGGGGGGGGGGGGAAACCGGCTTCATATATTTCAATGAAATTTGTCAAAGGGAGTAAATATGAAACGAATGGAATTCTTTAGTTTCAACTTACCATAAATATGGAGCTCTTTTTCTGCACGCTCGGTTTGGAACGAGGGCGCTTCTGCAGACACTTCACATCTGTACATACCTTCGGATTCCAGGTCAGTTTTATAAAGAAACACGTGTCCCACTGAGGATTTGGCCATCTGCAACAAAAGGGAATTTTCTTCAATAATAAAGTGAATCTTGTGAATCCTGAAGTTCTCTGAAGTATTACCAGGTTTAAAAGCTTTCTCTGACTATCTTTAATCCTTTTTTTATCAGTAACTTGTGAGTTATAATGATACAGATAACTGAAGATTGACTGAGCGTTGGCTAAGTTGAAATGTAAGGATCGTTTGCATGTATGCTTGTTTGTTTTGAATTTCGCGCTAAGTTAGTCGAAGGCTATCTGCAATAGCACTCCCTAATTTTGAAGTGATAGACTAGAGGGAAGGTGGACCTAGTCAACATCACCAATCGCAAACTCTTGGGTTACCCTTTACCGACGAATAGTGGAATTGACCGTCGTCTCATAACGCCCCTCACGGCTGAAAGGGCAAGCATGTTCGGAGATGGAATTCGAACCCACAACTTTCCGATTGTGAGTCGAGTGGTCTAGCCACTATGCCATGCTAGGCCTGAAAGGGTCTTCTCTTTTTTTGACATTGCCACCCAGCGGTAAGTCTGAAGGCTTACAACACTAAAAACCGGGTTTCGATACCTGTGGGCACAGCACAGATAGCTCATTGCGTAGCTTTGTGCTTAACAGCACAAAACAAATTTCTGATCTTATAAGAGAAGCCTCATGTTAGGTAGTTAAATAGGAAAACACAGAACATGATGTAAGCTATAAAAATATAACAAAAATAGGTGTTCTTCAAGCGAAAGCAAAAGTTTTTTCGTTGTTGTTATTGCTTAAATTTACACACGAAACTTTAAGTAGTCTAAATATTAAAGCTAGACTATTCAGCCTAGTAAGGTACATGCTTTTCGCCATTGATTTATTGAAGTTTACTTCACACACAAAAAATTCTTTTCTCTAGATTCTGAAGACTTTAAAATCAGAAACGGAGACCCAGCTGGATACCAAAGACTCCAAGCGGAGGCCGTGAAAATACCACGAGAACAGCAATGTGGTGAATTAGCTTGCATCTGTATCATACCGCGTGAAAAATTAGCACAGATTAAAACGTCAGGAGACCGACAAAAAAAACAACATAAAAAACTTAAAGAAGGTGAAAATGAAAAGTTTTTGAAAGAGCAGAGTTTACAAACTCAACCTACAAATGTATAAACCAAAACAAAAAACTAGCAGGAGGGAAGATGATGTTATATTAACCACACACGAGGATTCGTTTCTAAGATTTGAGGTAGGTAAATATGTCGAGAAGAGTGATCATTGCTTAATCAGGATGATTTACTACACGCTGAAACAAGAAGAAGTGTTATTTTAGTTTCTGATTTTCAGTTTAGCTTGGTTTGAATTTAGGGAAAAAATACTCGAGCACTAGCCTTCGCTAATTTAAAAGTAAAAGACCTACCTCCAACTCTTGGGCTACTCTTTTTCCAGCGAATAGTAGGATTGTCGTCACGTTATAACTCCCCACGGTTGTAATGGCAAACATATTCGAATTTGCGACTAGTTTATTAAAATCAAAGTTACACCTAACTAGTTTATTAAAGTCAAAGTTACACCTAACTAGCTTATTAAAGTCAAAGTTACACCTAACTAGCTTATTAAAGTCAAAGTTACACCTAACTAGTTTATTAAAGTCAAAGTTACACCTAACTAGTTTATCAAAGTCAAAGTTACACCTAACTAGCTTATTAAAGTCAAAGTTACACCTAACTAGCTTATTAAAGTCAAAGTTACACCTAACTAACTTATTAAAGTCAAAGTTACACCTAACTAGCTTATTAAAGTCAAAGTTACACCTAACTAGCTTATCAAAGTCAAAGTTACACCTAACTAGTTTATTAAAGTCAAGGTTACACCTAACTAGTTTATTAAAGTCAAAGTTACACCTAACTAGCTTATTAAAGTCAAAGTTACACCTAACTAGTTTATTAAAGTCAAAGTTACACCTAACTAGTTTATTAAAGTCAAAGTTACACCTAACTAGTTTATTAAAGTCAAAGTTACACCTAACTAGTTTATTAAAGTCAAAGTTTTTTGTTTGTTTTTTATTATTTTCCATGACTGTTGACTAGATTGACATCAGCTTTTGGATATTGTATGATAGATGGGATATCTCCAACGTATTTGGGTGTTATTACCACAGGCGTTTTCCGTTATGACAATAAGCTGACAACCAGGACCGATAAAGGTATTGCGATATTTAATTCATAATTGTTTTATAGTGCTGATTTAGTCACCTATAAACAATGAATGTAATCAACTAATTACAGTAATTACAAGATAATGTAGTTGTGCTATTATAAATTTGATCACTCGTTCAACATGACTGGAGAAAAGGATGTTATCACAGTGGTCACTGTCTCTTGTTGTTGCTAAACCTAATAGAATTTTAGGCTATTTTGAAAGATATACTTATTACAAGACAAAAGGGGTAATTTTACTTATTGTGTACAGTTTTTACGAAAGAAAGAACTTTGGAAAAGATTCAGAGGAAGGTTACTAAGATAATTCCAGGAATGGAGAGGTATAAACTAAGGTTTCATGACGTATCGGTTTTATGACGTATCAACTTGTAGAGGAAGAAAAACACTATCTAGCCGTAAAACTCGAGTTATGTGACCTTCTGTTTTATACACTAAACCAGGGATACTGGATTTCATCAGCTATCCTTCTAGTGTGCCCTGTCAGTGAATTCGATAGTTCCAGTTGTGCGCCTCGTTGCCACGAAAAAGCGCTCCGCACTTTAAATTTGTGTGTGTTATGAGAGCGACTGTCAAATCCCGCTGTTTGATTAGATAGGAATAGTCCGGAGTTGCTGCTGACTATACGTTTTCCCTTTAGTCTATCGGCTCAAAATTAGTGAAGGCTAACACAAATAGCCCTTGTATAGCTCTTAGCGCACGCAGACATCCTAAATCTAATATATATATACTTATTAAGCACAAAAATATGTCTGTCTGTCCGTTATCTAACTACTACTAGGTCGCTGGGCCAATGTCAACCAAACTTTGTGAGATGATAGTTTGGAACAAAAGGCATTTTAATGGGTGGTTCACAACCCACTCCACTTCTATTATTGCTGTTCTTGAGCACCTATTATATTTTACTTCTGCGACCAATTAATTAATCAGTGTAGAAGGACATTAAGTGTTAAAAATGGCTAACAGAAAGAACACATACTGCCACTGGTACCTCTTCCTACAAAGTGTATACCATGTTTTATGTACATACACAACTTTTGATGAGTTAATAACGAATATTGTAATAATATGTTGTTATAAATAACTTGTTAAGATTTTTGTACTATTTATCACACTTTATAGTTCAGAATCGGGACAAAAGACTGGTACCTCAGAAAAACTAGCGCCCTCTAACAGAAACTCTATTATAATTAATATTATAATTTTCCATATGTAATTTCAATACGCAAACTGAATTATCGATTGACTGTGATCTTAGTACTTAGTAATAGATTACAATTAGCTGTTTTTCACATGATGTATTAAGTTCATATAGTTTACAGTTAATTAGCTTGAAAATGTCGGAACAAACATATGAACATTCATAGATGACATCTCTTCATCTTGGCTGTTAGTGAAATTTGTTGCTTGTTTGTTGTTAATGAGCTGTCTCTGCTCTGCGGGAATTGAAACTCGATTGTTACTGAGCCTGTATAAGCCCGTGTTATAAAGCAATAGATGTTAAGACATATAAGACATTTATACCTGCGAGCAGATTTTTACTGAATATCTCTGATTTTTCTTTGTTGGTAGTGGCGCAAAGGAGACAACGCTCTGTTCACCGCGGAAAATCGATCCCGGATTCTAGGGTTGTAAATTACCGCTGACCCACTGGGCGACCTCTGATTCTGGTTTGTTTGTATTTGTTCTGTTTCATTAGTGTAAAATACTCAATGGACTCTCTGCGCTCTGACCACCGCTGGAAAAGTAAATCCTAATTTTAGATTTAGAAACTTATCGCTGACCCACAGGGGGGGATTTCAAAAGCACTCTGTTTGAATTATCGTTACAAAAACTGTTTTCATGGAAGGTTGCTATGGTTTCGTGGAAGGTTGCTATGGTTTCGTGGAAGGTTGCTATGGTTAAAAAGAGATTGTTATATTCCAAACTTCGAATGAAACTGCTAATATTATTGTTCTTCTTACTTTACAGCTTTCTTATATTTAGTAAAATTATTTTAACTTTTGTTTAGACCCTGCAGTGTAACCAAAGGACTTCGGATTAAAACAATATAGTCCCTAACGTTTTGGATTAACGTACGATTACCTAATGATCAAACCACGTGTTCTCAAAACAAGTTGTCTATTATGGAGGTTCTTCAACAACACCGCTCAACTTGCGTATGGAGCTCAAAAATTAGGTTTTGTTTGTTTGTTTATTGCTAAGCGTAAAGCTACACAATGGGCTATCTGTGCTTTGCCCACCGATTTTTTTAGCGTTGTAAGCCTTCTGACTTACCGCTGAGCCACCAATAATCACTTAAAGAACTCCTATAAAAAATTTCTATTA